TAAGCCCCGCCCTCCAGGACGCCAGCCTGCCAGGGACATAGAGGCTCAGGCAGGTGGGGCTTAGGTGATGCCTAGCGCTGGCACCTGAGGTTGGGGTCAGGGCTCTAGTCACAGCTGAGACCCAAGTGGAGCCCCTTTGTAAGATGCTGTCAACCCTCCCTTCTAGAGCGGGAGGTCCGGAGGCCAAGTCCCCATCTCTCCAGTGTCACGGGCCCCCATGAGGCACGTGAGACTTCATGTTCAGGCTACTAGGTATGACGTGCAGCTGTGGGTTCACAAGGCTGGTTGTGAAATAAGCCTGCAGATCAGAGAGTGGGGGACAGTGGCACACACTGTCTGGATGTGGACCCAAGCAGTCTGGATGTGGAAGCCAGTAAACACAGGAGATTGGGGCACACTGGCCCCCAATTCAGGAAAAGGAACAGCTGGGCAGGATGGATCGAGTGGGAGCTGCACGTCATAACCGAGGCCAAGGAGAGGGTTGAGTGGGACCAGCAGCCATGGGAGAGAGAACCTTCTAGAAATGGATGTGGGCTGGGAGGGCCAAGGGGAATGAGATGGGGAAGGACTGCTGGCCTGGGATTGGAATCCAGCGGGAAGCTAGCCTGGCAGCCGCGCCTCAGGTATAAACATGAAGTGCTCACTTGGGGGCTTGCTTGGTACATTTTGACTCACTTCATCCTCACACCAATCCTGCGAGGTAAATACTCTTATTTTTCCCACTCCATGAATGAGAAAACAAAGGAGCAGGAAAACTGAGTTGCGCAGGTCACAGTGATAAGTGGCAAAAGAAACAAATTCTCAACTGGACAACTGCAAATTGCATCCTTACACACAGGGTGACTTCCTGCAGGAAAGTCCCCTCTAGCCCAGATACACTGTGCTATGGTTTAGGTCATGAGTTGGGAGCAGCTTTAATCTGGAACTTGATGCTGTGTCTTGCGTTTCAGCAAGAAGGATTTAGACCCCCTGAAAGCCCTCCTGGAGAAGGATGGATGGATTGGAAGCAAGAAGGAAGGATTCCAGCAATAAGCCTCTAAGAGGACGACAGCTACGCAGGGGTGTGGTGTGGATGTACACCAGGGGGCAGGGAGGGGCAAGGCCATGGAAAGTGGTTTACAGGAGAGGAGAGGCTCTCATTGTCTCTGGTCGTTCTGACAGCATTTGCCAAATATGAATGTGAGAACTGAAGGAGGGCACATAAGCAAAGTGATTGTCCTACGAGCAGTTGTCATCCCGAAGGTGGCAGAAGTGGGGGAGGCACTGGAACAAAGATGGGAGACAGCCAGCAAAGGGCAGCTGAAATTTCAGAGCCACTGCCAAATGTGATGTAAAAGGTCTTTAAGATGCTCCCTGTCTCTAACAATGCATGCCTTTTTCACCTCCTCCCGGAAGCCTTCCCAGATTGTGTTTAGCTCAGATCCCTTCTTTCCTCTGTTACCCCTTGGCTGTGCCTTGCCAGTGCCTCCATGCCTGTATCATCTACTGAGACAGAGAGAGAGAGAGAGATCTCAGAGGGGGCCCTCTTGTAGTAGGCAGAGATTTGCACACAGTGCAGGTGGGGTTCAGGAGGGTATTGCTGAGGGATGAGGGTCTCAGTCCCAGGACCTCTGAATCAGCACCAAGATTCTCCAGTGCCCATTAAGGAAGAGCTGTCTGAAAGCCCCAAATTCTCTGAGTAGAGGTGAGGAGGTTCAGGCAGTGGCAGCACCCTTATCCCCCACCCCCTGTGAGAGGAGAGGTCAGAAAGGAGAGGGAGGGGACAGAAGCCAGGGCCTGGGCAACACGGAAGCTGAAGCCAGCCTGGGCATGCTAGGGAGAGAAATGGCATCTCCTCCAGCTGACAGCCCTGCGGTGGGCACAGAGCCTGTCCAAGATCATCCCAAACCCTCTGCACTGCAGGGAAGTCTTTCCTCCAGGGCCACGGGGAGGGGAGGTGCAGTACCTCGGGCTGATGGCAGAGGGCAGTGTGTGCACAAGTTACACGAGCGCGGCGTTCTTTCTCCTGGTTAGAAGTTTGCGATTGGTGACTGCATGGGAACGGGTTTCTGTGAGAAGACCCAGTGCCCTCCTTCCTGCACTCAGCCCCTCCCAGCCAGGTCCCTGGGCACAGTCCTGTTGTGGATCAATGGGTCCTGAACCAGTGCACAGCCGGCAAAGAAGGCCCGTGAACATAAGTTAATAATAATTATTATAATAACAACTAATACCGGGCGCCTGGGTGGCTCAGTCGTTAAGCGTCTGCCTTCAGCTCAGGTCATGATCCCAGGGTCCTGGGATCGAGCCCCGCATCGGGCTCCCTGCTC